TTTATGTGAGTGTAGTTAATGAAATGTTAGAAATTTCCATGTCAGGATAAAAAATGAATTCTGCTCTAAAGTTTTAATTGGTTAAGTGAAAAGTTGAACTATACAGTAAGATACGATTTTAAGAAGAATAACGAAAGTCATATTTTCCTTATTAACAAAATCAATCAACCAACAAATGCATTAAAAGAATCTAAACTCAACATATCAACGTTTCACTATAAATTTTATCGTAAAGTGACGTGAATTAGCGAATCATTTACACCATGAAGCACTGGATAGCTGTCCCACTCCGAAAATACTATCTGGGATAGAACTGATGACTGTGAGCTTACAAGGCCAGCCTGTTAACCAGTCAAGCATTAGCTTGAAATTCAGCGAAAATAATTTTAATTAGATTTTAAACGACTTTGAATGATTGCTGGGGTATAAATACTTTCATGCGTCCAGTTCTTATTGTTGGTGCTAACTGAATTCTATCAGCCACGTTTGCAATATGGTGACTGGAAGTCGCATTGCGCTATAGTTGTCACGAAATAATTGCTGGCAATCAGCAAGGACCCCTGAAACTTAGTTTTGTCTGTTTGTTAGTAGTCATCGGCAAGGCGTACCCACAGCGTTGATGGAACTGATGTCCCGTCTCAAACTTGGACCCACGTCACCTAGTGATATAATCAGTGATGCTTCCACTGGACGAGAGGTGACGGCCCATGGGTGATCTTTAGTAGGACAGTTATGGAATACACTGATTAGATACCTGGGAGTAATCTGTGTAGATGGATGGCCCTCCTAACTTAGTGGTAACGTTTCTTACTGAAGCATTGGATGACGTGGATTTGAATCTTAGAGGGAATTTCATTCCTTTCAAAGTTGCATGTACGCCCTGATGATGAGTTCTAACAAGCACGAAATTTAGATCCAAGGCCTCCTATCGACTGTCTCCGACCACCTATATTTTAAGATATTTGCTAAATGGCCTGATTATTATTTGAGAGTTCAGTTTTGTGTTATGCGTGATTAGTTGGATATTTAGTAATCTGCTAAGGACACAAAGTTCATTTACAGCCTTACATCAATTTATCGATCAATTAAAATCAAATAAGGTAAGACTTGACTAAGAGCAACTAATTGTTAGTGAGTTACCGGAGATATAAACCTTAACTAGGTACCGATTTTTGAAGATTTAGTTACTGATTATCATAACTTGCTTTCTCCTCGTAACCTACAGATTATAGGTCTCCACCCCTAGTGGATTTACGGGTGTGTACTGCTGCAGGATCCTAGATTCAGACAAAATAACTGTTTTGAAGTAATTTCTTGGATGGCGACTAGCAGCGGATCTCGGATGTGCATTTTTCCCTAATTGGGACTCATCAGCTCGACCTACATACATTCCCAGTGAGACTCAAACACGGTACTCATCGTTTCAGATGTCAAACCACTATTCACTAGACCACTTAGGCCATGAGAGCCACCTCTTGTGCAGCGGGCATCAGTTATCAGTTTTGTTTTTATTTTCCCGTCGAATCTTCCGTTCTAGGGGTTGACATATCAACAGAAGACGAATACTTAGATCCATCTAATTGTCGGGAAAATTAAAATTGAATTAAAAACAAAATTAAAAAGGACTGTCTAGTGTTCATTGGGTTCCAAAGATTCTCTTGCTGATATATTGATTCCTGATATATTTACGTTTCAGGTTCGACAACTAAACTTATCTAACGCAAAATACTCTGAATAATATAAATATTATAGACTTGGGTCAGGTTAAAAGGACATATTGAAGGTTAGAATAACAATGAAGATCAATCACGAAACCAAATAAGAGAGGTTATAATACATCTACCCTGGCTGGTATCACAACAAAGTTTACCAAGGAAGGTTTAGTGGGATGACGAATTGTTTTTGATGAACGCATAAAGGTGGTTTAGAGTTCAAAAAACTGTAGGACACACCGCAAACACGTTTTATAGATTAGTTTTAAAGACGTATAGACACCAATTGTATGTCCTGTCCACATAATATGTTTCTAAAAGAGGAGCTAGGTCGTTTGTTCTCACCATTAATAGGTTCTGGGGATTCTGTTTGCCTCTGAAGTCATTTGAGAATATGCTTTGAAGCCAGCCCTTACTTGCAGAGATCGATGAGTCCTCCCTATGTATGTGTGGCCACACGCACATTCAAATTGGTAAATGTAGTGGGAGGTAACATCATTTTTCGCATATTCTAAGGGCTTAGATGGATATATTGGCTTCACATTCTAAATTATTATAATCTTAGCTGCATATAAAGTCTTTTTAACCGCAGCGTCCAATCTTTTTCTAGTTAAAAAGCTGTTATAATCACCCAAATAGGGTAGCTTGGTGCACACGTCTTTCTTAGCGGCGAGCCGGAGAGTGGGTCTTGGTGTTCTGACTACTTTATATCCCTGAATAAACTTGTCTGAATAGCTTTTGTCAACCAGAGTTTGTGTCAACTTCTTTGTGCCTCACCAAGTGTGTCTTCAGTGCATATTCGTTGGATTCTATTGATACCAGAGTAGATGTACTCTTACCTCTGTTATTTGGTTTAGTGATTGATCTTCATTGTTATTTTGACCTTGAATATGTCCTTCTAAATTGACCTAAGTCTATTTTCTCACCTCTTAGCTCTTTATTAATGTCATGTATGACAAGTTAATGTGTGATCAGATTGTTCGAAATGTGTTGCGCAAATGCACATTACACGATTCAGACAAATGACGTCTTCTTATTGCTTTATCTAAATTCATAAAGGGAACTAATTGTTTTGAAAATTAATAACTTATTATCTCAGTAAATTGTTGGGTAAGGTGAAATACTTTGAAAATGACTTATGAACTACATTAATGCTTAGTTTTTTCATTAAGAAAGGCTCTTCCGTAAAAGCGTTACTCTGCTGTTAGTTAGATATTCTGATAGAAATAATGAAATACGAGAAGCATATGTACATTGTATTCAAAGTCAAAATATTAGCAGTACCTAACCACCAACAGCAACAACAAGCGACAGTCATTATCAATGGGAGGTCATCTCTTTCATTTACGTAAGCTGTGCTGTTTCAACAATAGGCAGCACAGTTGAGGATGCCAATGGTAGCATAGGGAAAGCAAGGAAGACCTGCATTGTTCTGCATTCAGTGCGGAAATCTACTGAATGCAGTATAACGACCACACAATTCAGGTCCTCAGTTTTTCTACATGGTAAACTTTCCCAACAGACTGCGGAATTTTGTCTGTAGCTGAATGCTTCGTTCCATACTAAAGGTTAGATGGCCAACTGTGAACAAATCAGAGGTGAACCTATTGCCCAAAGAATATACAGAAGGAAACACAGATGGTTTGGATACATGCTGAGGAGACCATTGAGTGATATCATGCGTCAGGTCATAGAGTGGAACAGAAGTGAGAAACAGCTAGTTAGGCACTGGTTTGACTGCGACATGGGGGAGGGGAATGAAAGCAAATGGGCAGTCGTCAAGCCAGTTAAAGAGGATTGCAGTGAAGAGGATGAAATGGAGATGCTCTGTTGAAGCCCTATGTTCCACTTGCAACTCAAAACAGTTATGATGATAATAAATTATGAATAAACAGTTAAATGAATAGTTATTTCTTGAAGACTTCGTCCTCTTATCCTCAATTCATTTGTCAACAAGTATGATGAGTTTACCCAATACACCTCATAAGGAGTTTAAAACAAGCAATAAAGGTTAATAAAGCAGGATTTAAACCTTTATTGTTTGTTTTAAATTCGTATCGGGAAATAAATGTTTCCAATTCATAAGGAGTTGTATGATGTAGAAACTTTTGGATTCACCATTAAAGTTTGCTGTTTATATTGTGCATTATAATCTAGAATCACCTATCTCCTACTCATCCAGTACTGTGAAGTGATAATTAACTGGTCGAGGTGCTTGATTTATGGTCACTGGACCATGGGTTGAAACGATTCTCCACCTACTGAAGTTTGAACAAACAGATGGTATTATTAAACCTCAAACATAATAAGGGTGACTTTTTGTCAGCCCTATTGAAAAATGAGTGATCACTGAGTAACATTTCCATTTCACTACCTAAACTCAACGAAGTAACTCAGCCAATAAACGACTCTGGGAGATTTTCACGTGTATAATGTAATTATACTGGATGATGTACAACTACCAGTCAGGACATTATTGTTGCGAATAGGTTTTGTTGTAATGAAACATATCTTTCAACAATTTTTTCCCCACTACTTGATTGGAAAATAACTGAAGTCATTTGTTTTCCGTCAATATTGGGATAACTGCCCTGCATCATTCGTTATTCTTTACATGTCATTACTTGCCTGAATGGGAGCGTGCGCGGGGGTATCTTTAGGAACTGAGTGGCTAGAGGACATAAAACGTCTGTGTAACGATCGTTTGTGAACAAAAATTGACTTCATACTAGATTTTAACTTATAATTTTCTGAAAATTTTATTCATTTACATACCTAATGGAACACAGGGCTTCAGGCTAGAGCTTCGAAGTTTCGGCAGCAATGGTGTTTATTTTTACGGGATGGGGTTGCTAACCTCATGCCCAACCTCCCTTCTTTACTCGTCTTATTGCCGACTTAGCAAGGTGAAGGAGTGTGTCGTCTGGGGAGCTAACCACGAACCAAATGCTTGGTCAGTTAGCTTTTTACCGACTTACAATTCACATAATAGTACACCCATTGACTGGGTACTGATTTTCAGGAGAACCGAACACACCTATCCCTGTCTCTTTAGATACTAGACCAGCATGCAGTATCATCCTGTGGCGCAACCACTTGAAAGTCCTCTTTATCAGTGGACCAATTAGATTTTAATTCTAGACTCATATGCATGCAACCATCGTTACATCATGAACACACCATCTAAAATCATCATAATCAGTACGTTTGTTGCAGAATTGGACCAACAAGAAGTAATCGACATAAGAGAGCGAAAATTCAACGTTAAAAAGAAAACGGTTCACTCACATCATCAATATCGTCATCCACGTTATCTGCTGACCAACAACAATATGTGCCTAAAAATATCCACGCTGATATAAAGCACAAAAGAGTTGCAAGCCATAAAAGAATGTATGCAGAACCATAGGATATAGATGTTGTAGTACGTTGATTCTATAACAAAAAGTTAATTGAAAAAGAAAAGATATCTAAAAGATATAAAACACAACAAATATGAAATACCTGAAAGGGCACTGTATAAAACCAACTTGAGTTCTGCATGATGCTTACCAGTTTGAAAGCGACAATAACTTCACCTGGTGTATTATTATTATTATTGTTTCCTTTAATTCCTAGAGAAATATAGGGCTTCAGCTGCACGTCTCCATTGCGTTCGGTTCTCTGCTAGAGTCTTCACCTGGCTCCAGGTCTGCCCACACGTTTTCATCTCCTCTTCACATGACCTCTTCCAAGTTGCCCTTTGACGACCAACTCGCCGCTTCCCTTTCGGGTTCCACTCGAGCGATGGCTTGTCTAGTGATGTCACTTGATGGTTTCCTCAGGGTATGACCAGCCAATCCATCTCCATTTCTTCCTGCCTATTTGTTTCACAATCGGTTCCTGGTTGGTTCGCTCATTGCCAGAGATCTTTGTTGCTGATTCTTTCTGGCCATCTGCTCTTGAGTATTGAGCGAAGACAACTGTTAATGAAGGTCTGTAGTTTGTTTGAGATGCTCTTTATGACGCGCAGTGCAAGTCTCTGCTCCATGCGTATAGTAGCACTGACTTCACATTGGAGTTGAAAATCCGGATCTTTTTTTTCATGCTCAGTGTTGTTGACCTCCACACAGACTTGAGAGTAATGAAAGCTTGCCTTGCTTTTCCGATCCTTGCTTGTGATATCCTCGTCAGTTCCGTTCGCCTGTAGTTGGAACGACGCTTCCCAGGCAGGTAGGTAAAAGAGGTTGTTTCTTTCAGACTCCTCCCATTTATGCTGATTGTTGTTGTTGCTGTTGGTGGTGTTGCCCAGGAATCTTCATCACCTCTGTTTTCTCTATGTTCACCTGGTGTATGCAAGTCAAACTTAAGTCAAGCCTAGATAAGAGGGAAGGTAAAGTGTAGGGCTGGCAAATTCATCCCGTGAAAACACAGTCTTATTGCTACTGAAACTTCAAAACACAGAAGTAAAATAAACTTGATCTCTGCTAAATAATCCCTACTTTATCCCCAAAGGCATTTTCAGATTGTAGTAGAGTTTTATCGACAACTACCTCCGTTCAAACTGAAAATCATATGGCCGAGCACTACTGATGAATATCACAGAATTTAAGCAACTACTGAAACAACCAACAACCTATTAACCGGCAAATAGAAAGAAGCAAATAGAGATGGATTGGACATACGCTAAGGAGACCTTCAAGTGACATAACAATTCAAGTCATCGAGTGGAATCTAAATGGGAAATGATTAGTCGGGCGTCCGAAGGTGACTTTGAGGAGATCATGCTACATAGAAATGACAGCTTGTGAGCAGTCGTGGAATCAGCTAAAAGTCATGACAGACAAAAGAATACAATAGAGACGGGCAGCTGAAGACCTGTATTCCACTCGAGTAGCAAGAGATGAATAATAATACTGACAATAATCTTGTGCCAACATAATTTCATAGGAGAATAATCGCCGTGGAATGTTTTACGGCAAAATATTAAAATCTACCCGCTTGAAAGCAAAGAGCACAGGTCAACCACTTTGCCCCAGCTTGAGAGCCTTCAATGGAAGGAACTAACCACCTAGTATTGAACTATCAAGAAACTGGAGCTGGGAAATGAGACCTATAATTGATCAGATCTTATAGGAGGTCACTATATCAGTGACGATGTGCGACCAAAGTGTGAATTTCAAATGATGTGCCAGTTCCTTTCAAGCTGAATGTTCGCCAGGCTAATGGATTTCAAAACAACAGCAACAGGAATAAAGGATATCAAGATTAGTCACGGATTGTTACAAGTTAGGTAACTAGTGAAAATAAGCCAGTACGGAACAGTCGTTTCATCCTTGTTTGGGGAACTTCAACCGCACTCAGTGATCCACTGATTGATATCCTTCTGTGATCAAAATTGGAACCGATCAAACCCCTGCAAACTAACACTTGATAATTAGTCCAACGTTCACTAGTGACTGACTAGTGGACTAAGTTGCTCGGAGTTCCTGTGAGAAATCGTCACCAGAAGGGTCTACCAGGTCAAATGTGAGGAAAATACTCGCAGATGGCATTGGGTGGATATTAGTCTATACATTACACAGTTGCAGAAGCTCGAAATAATGGCACTATCATTAGATTCCGTCTAAGTATCTTAATGGTCAACTGGCTTGCCTAGTAACCTGAAGGTGCTGGTTTCAGTCCCCTGTCGGGTAATGGATGAGCACTAATGAAGAGTCTGTTCTGAACTAGGATGAAACAGGTATCTATTAATCCCTGGTTTTCAGTTTGCGATCCAATTTGAAACCAATCAATGATTTCCCGGCAATTGCCACTTTTCACCTCAAATCTGCTGAACATTATGTCTCCTGGTATGATTATCATACTGTAAAATTAATCATTCCGACTTGCTTCACTTAAAACACTGTTGATTTTCCTTAAAGAAACACGTGATGGTTGAAAACCAATGGAAGACTTGCGTCTCAGAATATTTCACATTGTCAGTCTCTCTATTCCAAGGTCTATGTGTTACTTATTGACCGATTACACCTAACTGCTAATTGGGTAGCAAGAGATTGTCTGTCGTCGGTGAGACTATGGTTACATATTAGATCACGAAACATCTGCAGTCATCTGTTCAAATGTTAAAAGCTCTCAGGATAACTGTCATGAAAAGAAGTACCTATATACAATAAAACCTAAATATAGACGATTCCTTAAATTCTCCTTTGTATAAGATACTACTAACTGAAAGTAGTAGTGTATAAGTATTCACCAGTAATTACTCATGAATACAAAAAAAATTTCTAATGCCTATTTTGGCTAGAACTTTAGTTGATAAGACGCAACCGAATGTGACTGTATCTTCAGCAAAAGGTGTCTCCATTAAGGCTCGAAACCAGAGTCCGTCATCTCAAAAATCTGAGGGGTGAGGACTCCCAACTAGGGTGTAAAGCAAATCGTGGATTCTACTGCTAGCCACCACTGACCAACCATCACAGTGATAACCTTATGGCGTTGTTGAAAAGTCTTTTCGAAGAACCAGCAAGTCAAGGAAGATCAAGCATTTCGGTACAATAAATGCATAAAACTGGAAACTCAAAAATGACAAGCTCAACAAATATTTATGTGAATTGGTAAGTCTTCTGGTGTTAGGTTTGTAGACATGAATGTTAATCTTAAGTGTAGATGTTCCATCTTGAGGATGGAAAATGCAGTCTAATTAGTATATCAATGAAGAGTAATGACAAATGGATAAAGGAATAGCTAAATTTGAACGTCTGTGAACTTCTCGATGTTAAAGTAGTCATTTAGTGGTAATGTTTTCACACTTTAGCTTCAAGTTATCCACAGCTGAGCACTTTTAAAAAGTAATAAACGGCCGTCTGGTATTTATTTTTTAATTTTTTTAATTATAGCTTGATTCCACACAGTATTTTGGTACAAGTATGAAATTTTCGGCGTGTGATATCGGCAGGCCAAATTTAGCAGGCCGACCATAGATATCAGGTGTGCGTCGGCGGGGAATCGAACCTCGGACCATGTGTATGGTCGGCGAGAGTCCTAACCGCTGATCTGGCTAGTGATCAGTATTATTTGATGTGGGTGGTATTCAACTGCTCATATCAACCAGTAGTACATAGCGTCATGCAGTGATGCTTTCTTCCTTGATTGCTATCTATGGTGTCAAACAGATCAAAGGCACTGTGATCTGAATAATTTCGCTTTTTTAAGGAAACAAAGGTGAAATATCACCTGAGACTGTGCAATCTGCAAACTGTGAATTTTTGTTTGTCACTTAAACTTCCTCTCATCAATGACACTGAGTGCTAAGACTGTCAGTGAAGCAATCTACTATGCTTCATACACATTCCAGATGAGAAAAGTTTTCCAGGAGAAATCATTAGACTGACTCAACTCAGTCATGATGAATCTAGTAATCGATTTGCACTCAACAAGTAACAGCGTGAAAAATAGTTCTTACCTCCGACCATTGATTGAATCCATATGGATAACCCGATGATTTACCATATTTGTCTTGGAGCTGTTCAACATGAAACATGATTATTGCACTTTGTAAACAGAATCCTGTAAGAAAAAAATGCACGAAATTACCTAACAGGCTATTACATTTAGTAGATTTACATGTGTTTATAATGTAAGATTTAGTTAACTCATAGAAGTCACACAAAGCTTATTTACACCACAGTACACTTCTTGTTATGACTTGGCAACAGTCTGCCAGTAAGTTGTGTATTCACCATCTTAGAGAAGTATTATCTCTTTGAATAAAACAAGAACAAGAGTTTTCGCAGAATAAAATGGTACCATCATTTATTTCCTTGCCTTCTCATCAGCTGCTTACAGGCCAAAGTCATTATTAAGCAAATCTACAGAAACATTTTTCAACATACTTGCACAGAGTTCATTTTTAAACAAAATCAGCCAACCAGTCTATGTATACAGTAATAATAGATATAATAATATTAAACACTATTCCTAACAATAATGATCATACACAATGGAAACTCTCGGCATTACGCAATCAGATGAAAGAAAGGTGACAATATCCAGTTACCAGGGCGAAGAAAGACTGACAAATGTTTCTTTCTGAACGCACAAATCGTGTTTCAGGAGACTGGTGGAGATGGCTTCAGCAAACTTGAAGAGAATTGAGCTCTTTTGCCTGTTGATAATTTTGAACGATTTTGCGACGTCCACCTCATGAACCGTGTCAAGGAGATGCCTGGCGATGGCACTGTTTAAAGCATTTGTTCCCTTTAGACATAAGCTTTTTGGTACATGTTCAGAAAACCGTAGATATGCCCTTCTTTTTGGCCTTCTAATGTAACTACTCTCGGAAATACATGTTAATTTCTATATACAGTTGGAGTTAAATTGAGAAGGATATCTATCGATTTTCGATTGCACCAAAGAGCAAGTTGTTCGATAAACGGGGACGACCTTAGCTTCAGGATAGGCACTGGCTAATGATGAACTCAGTCTTCTGCTGACCATTGCTGCAATGTTTTCACCTTTATAATCAAGTTGAATGTAGATGGGCTTTTTCTTCTTTGTGATTTGCCTGGCATTTGAGACTTCAGATCTTCCGAACTTGTTAATGAACCTTTGAAGGTAACCGTTGCTTTCCAACATCTTTTCGAGAAACATAAATTCTTCCTCTAATTTCTCTATATAGCATAATCTCCTAGCTCTATAGTATAGAGTCTTGACTAGTCCATGTTTAAAGCTATTTGGACAAAAACTATGAAAATGTAGGTATTGTCCTTTCCATGGTGGGCGTTCGATAAATTGACTTCTGAAGACTACCATCTTCTAGGCGTTGCATGGCAATGTCGAGGATTCGGAGTTTTACGATTCAATCATGAAACTTATAGGCTTCAAGGAAACATTTCATATTTCTTGTAGACAACGTCTTTCATGTGATGTCCTCCAGAAAGTGCTTGAAAGCAGCACTCAGACCTGGGATAGAATCCCAATACAAAAACATTTTCTTTCTACCTCCACATACTTAAAATTAGGTAATAAGAAACTGTTTTACGATTACTTTATAGAAAGTTTGAAAGTGAAATAAAGCTCTGATAAACACTGGATAAATTACTTCACTATACTTATGCATAAATGGTTCACTTGTAGAATACTTAGCAACTGCACACTTGGTCCATATTTTATTCTTTTCCAATCTTAGTTCACTAGTTGACATTAAGCTGGGAGAAGACGAATAGGTAGACGTGAGGCAAGAAATCCAACCTTATAGAAATAAAGCTTAAAATCTCTCATGTTCCAATCGATCAATCGCCTTACTAAATTACAGCATCTGAACCGTTTTTAAACGCTCAAGAGAAAAGGAGTTATTTCCATTTGAAAGTCATTTATTCCAAGGAGGTGTCAGTTCCTTGGAGTTTGTAAATACGTCAGTAAGTGCGGGACTAACCATTTACATCAGTGATAAAGAGAGCTGTCACACGAATTGAACAACATTTAGGTTAAGTCAGTTTTTCTTTGATAAATTATTCTTCAAAAGAAGATATTATTTTTGCATACAAACCAAGTCAGTTCTCTAATAAAAGTGTCCACATTCTGTTAAATACAATGGTAGTCATCTGGAAACTTACTACATTCCTCTATTTCAATTCGCTAGCAGTGTATACTACTGATAAGCATATGCAAGTAGTACACCGTGTACTGAATCCACTGGAAGGGATAAACAGACAAAGGACTGATGGATTTTCAAAAACAAGGCAAGCGGAGAGAATCAGTTATCAGTAATAGATTATACAGAATAAAGACGAAGTAGAAGAGGTTGAAGAAAGTAGAACATTAGTTGTGTGTACAAGTTAAATTTTCAATCTCTCTATCCGATTCAGTTGATATATGGGAAATGATCCTGGATAATTCATTAAAATCCAATCCCCCTCTTAAATTGTTTCAGTGGTTCAAAGGAAAACCACATGTGTGAAGATCACAGAATGCTTGCCGTCTACCTCCAACCATCTGACATAGACTTCGTTTTATTGATCTCCAGTTTGAATTCTCAGATTTTATTCTTCTATAAATAAAAGTAGAGGAGAATTCAGTTGCTATTTCAGTGGTATATATTCCTAGTCAGTCACATACGTGGTCTGGGTTCGATTCCCGACCAATGGATGTACACCTAACCCTCTCCTAGTTTACTAGTTAACCTGGATTGGTGTAGGACAAGTCATCCTAACCTACTGCTGGAGCCTCAACACTAAGCTTCAAGTTCCGTAAGTTTCACTCGAAATGCAAAGATTGAAAAACGCAAAATTTAAAGGTCATTTAACAATGTTATTGCTAAAATGCAGAAATAAGAAATGAAGGGGAGGAGTTATAACACCTAGTTATATATTGAATTATTTTAGTTTTACAAATTCATTCATTTTGAACTATTGAACACTTACCAGCTAACATTAAAAATATACCAATAAGTAACCGCCAAATTTGAAAGCATCTGTTGTCAGTCTCTTTTTTATACCAGACAATGATTAGCGCGAGTGCAGCAATAAAGCATATACACATTATAATTATTCCAATTGCATGCATAGCCAATTCAGCAAGACGTAAATCTAGTCAAAAAGAAATAGTGTGGTAAAATAAGTATCATGTTATCATCATCATCATCACCAGAAGGATAAGAAGCTCCCAACAAAATAACAAGTGTAATATTGCATACTATCTACCAGTTCATTGACTAACTGTCTTTTAATTTCTTAGAGAGTGACATGAGTGTCATCTTGAAGATAGATAAAAGTAAAATGAATGACTTAATATTGGAAAATGAACATCGAACGGTTTATTTAAACAAAATCACCTTTCTCCTGGAATGCACCTTATCGGCTCATTGAGTAACAGTCATAGAATCCTGTCGGATGTGTAGTATAGTCTGTCGAAGTGAATTATCCCTTTTCAGTTATCTATGTTTCACATCAGACACGAGATAAGATTGTACATTTCCCATCATTTGGAGACTGTACTTCATTCAACTAGACAAAGTGTCACAGCACTGACTTGTATTCTCTGCTACACATCAGATTTTCGTCTGCATGTATATATTTCCTTCAGAGTTTCCTTCGAGTCAGCTATTAAACTCTGAAGATTGAACAGGAGAATCACTGAAGTCCATAAAACAGTGGAGATCTGTTCCATCGTCGTTTAGGCATCTCCACCAATACACACTGAAAACCCAAATGGCGGTGAAAGTCGCCACTTTGAGGTTACGCAACAAACCCTCTTACCATACAGCTAATGACCTGCGCATTTTAAATTATGCCGATTTACGATGTATTATTATTTCCTTGAGTTCCAAGTATAAAGCAGGGCTTTAACAACACATCTCCATTTCTTTCTACTCTCTGCTGTCCTCTTCATCTGGCTCCACGATTGCCCATAACCTCTCATCACCTCTTACCCAAAACGACATCCTCCATGCTACCCTCGCACTTATGACCAACTCGATGTCGCTTCGCATTCGGATTCCACTCGGGTGACTGCCTGGAGATGGCGCGATGTCATTCAGCGTCCTCCTCAATATATGCCTGATCCATCTCCTATATATTTGCTGAGTGATCAGCTCTTGGTTGGCTTTTTACCAGACTGAGTTTCTTGTCGCTAATTCCCCCTTCTGGCTGGCCATTTGATCTTCAGCGAGCCAGCGAAGGCAACTGTTGATAAAAGTCTGTAACTTGTTGGAAATCCTTCTCGTGACTGACATGCAGAGCACGTTTCTGACCCGTATAGAAGAACTGATTGACTGAATTCACATTTGTGTTGAAAATCCGAATCTTGTTCTTCATGCTGCGGAGTTAAGCAGAGGATTTCCAAACTGGTTTTAGGTTGATGAAGACGTATCTTGCCTTTCCATTTTTATCTGACTGGCTTTGACACCTTCATCCGTGCTGTCCGAATGCCTGTGGTTGAAACTGTGCTTCCTGGCCAGATAAGTGAAGGAGGTAAGCTCTGTTGAATCTCTCCCATTGACAGTGATTGATGCTTGTTTTTGTTGTTGATGCTCGTTAGTTATCTTCATCACCTCCATCTTCTTTATGTTTACCTGAAGTCTTGTCTTTGCTGCTTCTTCAGAGATACAATACAGCACCACTATAATTCATTAGGAGTTTTTTCACACCTTGCATTATGGTACCAAGAACTCAGTGGAATCGATTCTAGTATTTACCTCGTAAGATCAAAGATTTAAGTCCAATTCATGGTCAGGTCATAAGTGTGCACTTGTGGTGAGTACCGGACAATGACGAAACAATTATCCAGTGTGCAAAGGCTTTTAATGATGTTCTAACTAAAATCGGTTAGTGACAAAATCTAATTTCAAACCGGACAAATTTCCGCAAAACAAATGTTTGAGTGTATATATACATATTCTCGTAAACTTTTCAATATGAAATTGTTGTACAGTGGATGAATACAGTTAGTTAAGATTACCATTCCAGATTATTTGAATGTAACCGATCTTCCTTAGCAAGTGCGTTACTATTCACCTGGTGGTTTCGAATCTATCTGCTATCATGGATTCTAACATCGGTCTACTGAGAACGTAGCCGCACCGCTAACAGATTAGAAACATACTTGAGTTCATCAATAATTGCGTTCCTTGCATTCCAAGTCGAACATAGGGCTTCAGCAGAACATCTCAAGCTGACTCTGTTCTCTGCTGTCAGTTTCAGCTGACTCGACGGCTCCAGAAAGGTCTCCTCCATGCTATCCTTAGACGATTACCCGTCGTTTTTTATTCGGGTTCCACTTGACAGTCTGGCATGTTTTGTTGTTGTTCAAATATCCCCTCAGCATTTTTCCAATCTACCTCCATTTCCTTGTGCATACGTTTCTGACAATTAGTTGTTTGTTGACTGGTTGCCTGATAAAGGTTCTTGTCACTTACCCTTTTTTAACCCGCCATCTGATTTTCAATATCAAGAGAAGACGTTTGTTGAAAAAGGTCTTTAGCAGTTTGTTGGTGTATGCCTTATAACATACCTAGCAAAGTACTAGTATCCTAATCGATATCAAGCCAGTTTTTGGTTTTCTAACGGGGATAAAACTTTGTTTCCATATCTGATTATACGATAGCCGTACCATGCACCAACTTGCAAACCGCGATCGTGAACACTATCTAGCCTGGCTAGTAAAAGAAGAACAAAAACGTGTATACAGCTCAGTGACAGAACATCTGGTCAACTCAGGAAATTCAGCACCATTCGAAAAATCCTTCAAAATGATATCCAAGATTCGATCAAACCTATCAAAGGGAGTAAAATCTGGGCATAGCCTTGGCACCAACCATCCAAAAACTCAAACCCACACTATGTATCCAAAAGAAATACGTCCAACCCTTGTCCCTGCCATGGCCATCATAAACAGGTGACTCTTAATAGTGACTATCCCATTACCTTTCTTAACCAAAATTCCTGCTTATTCACGTTATTCTTAAGTTTTTCTTAATCTCTGTTTACACTAACATATTTTCATATCCTGCCTGTTCTGCCATTTTATTATTCCTATATATTTAGTCCCTAATTGCATAAACAACTATTCATCAACTTAGTTATGATCCCACTAGATTTTTTATCCAAACATCCTGTCTATTGTTGTTATTTCTACTTTTATAATCCCTAATTGCACAATATGTCAATCTTCTCAGTAATCATGATCCTAACTTGTTTGACCCTTGACGGGAAACTCTATTCTGGGACTTTCTCACCCATTTACTATGAATCCACGTATGTCCAGCTTAGTTAATGACTCCGTCGGAAAGAAAATTTTCTTGGCTGCAACTGTCTTTTTATTATTCCCTATGGTCAGATGTGTATATTACGTGATATTTGATTGTTTCTTTTTCACTCACTACTCTGTCTAACTGAAGAAGAAAGTAGACTAAACAATATAAATGGACCAAGGTACTACAGAGGCTCAAAATGCATCTATCTCCCCACCTCTTTCCCTTCCGTTGCCCTGTCTCACATTATACAATAGACAGGACTCTAATTCACCTAACAACAACAAGGTTTCTTTGTTGATTACGTAATACATCCGTGTTTATTGAAGCATGAATTTTTTTTCCACTAAAATAAAACCTATTGAATGAACAGGAATTAAAGGGGAAAAAAGGTTGCACTTATTCCCTGATATTAGTGAAACTCATTAGCTAAAGATGGGTGCGTACTGATGAAGAGTCACAAACTAGGACAAAACAGCTGTCCAGTACTCCCAGGTTTTCCAGTGGTTCTCTAACTGATGTCAGCTCATGGTGAAATCCTCCACGCAATCAAAACAAAATCCCTACAAAACCAATACTTAAAGATCATTCGTTTACATCTTTAAAAATTTCGCTTTCTCGTATTTTACAATTTCCAAAAAAATAAAACGTACTTGTCATTAGACTTGAATATTCATCATTCACTATATTTGGATTGCGATACTGACATGCATTATCTGTAAAGATCAGTAATAATAATAATAATATTAATAATAATCATAACCATTATTGTTATTATTATTGCTTAGTGGATGCTTATCAAGGGTGAGCTGAGATCTCAGATCATGGTAAAATTATAAAACCAGAGACCTCTGAAACATTATTCCCAGTCCGCTTAACTCAGCAAGTACAATAGTCGGTTAACAATCTGAAGGACGTTGGTTCGTCTCTTGCCGCCGCCACCGAAGACTATTTGAGATAGTCTCATTATTTTCTATTGTCATCAAAGATATCAAAGAGGAATTGATTAATGTGAATGGTGACAGTTGAATTGTCAGTAGCGAAAATCCTCACTCTTTGACTATGCGAACTTCTTCTTTCCTAAATATTGAATGAACGCATCCATGGAAATACTTTCAACAGAATTTTGATGCAATCTTCTTTAAGTGTTCAGAATGAGACGGAATGTTCTCTTTAGGTTATTCACACCTTATGGTATTAATAGTCTGTACTTCTGATATTCTGATGTAACCTGACTAATACAACACCTGTCTTTATTCCTTGCGTTCCGAAGGGAATATAGGGCCTCAAGCTGAAGGCTTTTGAAATTTCATTAGTGGTGGTATTGCTTATTTTACATGATAGCGTTATTAGTCTCAAACCTACTCTTCCCTTTTTTCCAGGATTTCTGTTGACTCGTAAGTAAGCTAGGCGAGAATTTTATGAGTGTGTCGACCGGCAATCTAAACCTGATCACATGCATGGTTGGCGATGATTCTAACGCGGAACAACCAACGCACAATACAGTATTTAATGGAAATATTGTCAATATTGCTGCTGAACATTTACTGCAATATATGTATGTAAGTCAAAAAGAGATGAGTAACTGAGATCAGTGAAAAATGCTTAGATGCACTTCACTTCGACGAATAACCTCTGTGTAGAGAATTGTAAAGCCTGAAACAAATGTAGACGTCGTTCATATTCTTGTATACTGTTGTTCATTTTTTTTGTGAACAATGTGTCATGGTAAGTGTGGGATTTATGAACGAAGGTTTTGTGAGCATGAAGCTGAAAGATTTCCAGTAACAGAATCATTAGTTCCTTGGCTATAGTACATTGCGCCATGATAATTTGATAGAAAGGCGCGGAAACTAAAGTACAGTATACTTTCATCGTTTGTAGTCACACAGTACTAGTTAACTGGATGATCTTCTGGAGGACATTTGCTAGCCTGTAACCACACCAGTGAAGGCCTTTAAACTTTAGTATTTCGTCCAGCATCTGTCAATGAATTTCTACCATATCCCTGGAGAAGATAATGTATCATTTTGCACTGTATAAATAAGGTACTGATTCAACGAGAAATTGTTATGTATCAAACCTTTCTTTCCATCTAACGACAGTCACTTTGAACATCGCTCTGTCAAACTCAGTCAAAACTTTTCTTCTGATTGCGTATCAGTTTAGCTTTACCTCCCATCATCACCAGATAAGGAACTATATTCATGACATAGAAATTAAACTATGAAAAACCCGCTATTGAATGTTAGTCAATTTTTATATTCTTTGCGTTCCACTAGGAACTCAAGCTCTGAGCTGTTAAGTTGCAGTAGAGCTGGAGTTGCTAGCCCTGCGGTTAACCTTCCGCATAATTAGAACTAACTGTCTTCTCGTAAACTAGGCGAGGTTCAGGAGTATGTTGGACGGAAATCGAACCTGGACCTCTTATCATACAGTTTCTAGTATTGTGTACTACTGCTACGCGGTAAGTCAAGAAGTTTATCTTTAAATGTTTTTATTACCGCCGATATACAAACCAACTTTAAGTATATAAACGAACATTAGGATTTGCATAATGAGAGTTTCTCAATGAACTGCTCAATGGTTTATCCGAAATATGTGACGCTAAGTTAGGTGGGGCTGAACCCATTGACTGAAAAATCAAGTGCTTTGGTCGATAAGCTCATCACATCACCATTGAATTAACTAAACAGATTATCATCAATACTTAAATGTATATTAGCTGATCAGTGCCCTCTATTATCTGCATTCCATCTTCAGAGATATTGACATTTCTTCCGAATACTGTATCGATAAATTTTTAAATATTATTTCACTGAGGGTGGTTGACAGTGGAGTCAAAAATGCGCGTTTCGTCTGACTTGGGACTCATCTTCTGGATGTACTGACATTTCCAATGAATGATGCCGCTCCCGTCGAGACTGGAATTCAGTATTCATTATTTTACTCCCGTAAAATAATAATTTCAACAACTGAGGCTGAAAAAATATTTAAGTTTTGTGCCTATCATGACACTGGGATAAATTTTCCGCTGTTCTGTTTTTATTCGCTTACTCAGAACAATATGTTTTGAAGATGGGTTGTTAAATTTGGCTGCTTATTTTGTCCAATGAAGACCAGCCGGCAGTAAAGTACGAGATGCACACAAAATGGCTTCATTTGTGAGTAATCTATTTTCACTTTTTTTCGTTTTTCTACCGTTTCACTTGAATCAAATCAAAGAGGATAGTGTTATCTTGGCTAATGGTGACTAGCGGCGGGTTCCTTGGTGTCCATATTGTCCTACCTACGACTCGTCATCTGAATGTAACTGCACCACCAGGTAAATGATCGTTTTCTCACAGAAACTGGAAACCTATACTTATCGTTTTTAACGCTGAGCATTATCCATTAGGCCGCAGGCGCCCAGTCGCCACCAACCAAAATAACATCACGGTAATCCTCAGGCATCATTGAAGCTTCCGTACTATGAGCTGAAATATCAGCAGACTAATCAACGGAAATATGGATTAGCGGAATTAGCGAATTAGTCCACCGATTAGTTGCACCAGAGGATGATACAGCATGCTGGTCCCGTCTCGCAAGAAGTAGGGATAAGTGTGCTCGGTTCTCCACTGAAAACCAATGCTCAATCAATGGGTGTATCACTGTGTAGATTAGCCTAAAAACAGAGGTCATTGTTCACGATGATCATGAGACTAGTAAGTCGCGTTGACTGTGGTTCATCAGTGTCCTGTTAATCGATTAATCACATGAATTTCATTTGTTCATGAGCATTAGTTCCAGAAATGCTTTTTAATTTATTTTTCTAAGTTTTCCAATGATACTGATCCGTCAAATAAGATATATACCTTAAAATTAAACTGTTTTTGTTTTTTTGCTCACCTGAAGTAAAACACACTTGCGTATAACCAAAACTTCTAGCCTTGTTTAAATCAGCATTTGCTGCATCAAAAACTGTAGGATTTACCAGTAGAAATGTTGGCAGAGCTATAGATGCAGCTGCTAAAGCAATTGCTATGGCCAAGATTATGAAACCAGCAATCACCCAGCTCCGTGTATATCTTACAGGTCGAAAATCATAATCATCCATGTCCATAAAACCAGATTTCAGGGTAGACGACATATCTGTAAGAATAGAAAGAGAAATGGCAATAAGAATAAATTAGCTTAGCTATTCGACTTATTTTGACAAAATCTTGGAGACGTACATCGACTGGCTACCAGGAATTAATCAGTGTCGTTTCTCTAGTCCTTGGTATGTTACTGCAGACCGAGGTCTGTCAGTCAAGTCTACAAGATGATCACTGATCTAGACGACTAATGATATTAGTGTACTTCTATTTCATGTTAGATGGTTGTAAGGAGGAGGTTGTTATGAGGCCCTACATCTAGGTTTCTCACTTACAGGCACTCATCAACAAGGTGTATATGCAACGTTGAGAGAAACCAACGTGCCCTCTGAGATTCGCACCTGCGTCACTTGGTGCTTAAGCCAGTGTTGTTATCATTGAGCTAACCGGATTCATGACTAGCTTACTCTAGGGCTGTAATGGGTATGCTTATTTGTCACTGCAGTCATGGGCCGAGTCCTTAGTATTGGTGCAGACTGGATTTTATCAGTCACTTCTACAATGTTGTCATCAGAAAAGATGACTGGCCAAAATAGAGCATTCTGAATTACTGTTACATTTCTGGTGGTATTTGGCGGGTACACCTGGACATAGGTTTCCTGCTTATTGGCACATTTCAGCGGTATGTGAATGACACCCCAGTATGTGTATGAATTTTAATGAGGATTCTGTAAATTGTTCTCCTCTTTTTTTGTAAAATTCCGCTGCAAGACATAATAAAACAGACTTTTTGTCATGAGAACTGAACGAACCTAGAATTTCTGGGTCACTAAATTCCAACTAGGCAGTCACAATGTCAGTAGTATCACCTGATAATCTGCATGTCATGAGTGAATGCTTCTGAAGAGTCCAAAACTAAGACGAAAAAATCTGGTTTTCAATTTTTCTCTGTATGCTGACGATATGTGAGTGCTTTTCATGTTTTTCCTTAATATGGGGGATGACGGTCTTGTTGGATACTGCACTCTGATGAATAGCAACTTTTGGATGAGTCATCAGGCTGTCTTTCACTAATATGGCGTGCCACAAATCTTTAATAACATCATTCAACAGCTGTATGACAATGCCACATGTCAGGTGGTCCTTAACGGAAAACTCAGCGAAGACTTCGAAGTGAATACATGAGTTAGAAAACGCTGCATATTAACACCTGTGATATACCTAACTGTGGTGGACTATATTATGCGGGAGAATGCTAGGAGTGAGGAGAGAGGAATATGTTAGAGTGAACAAAATACTATGGAAGATTTAGACTTCTCGGAAGATACATGTTTAATGTCACATAAATTAGAAGATCTATAGGCGGAAATCAACCAGTCTGCCGAAGACGCAGAGAGCGAAGACAGGACTTCAGCTGAACATAGGGAAGACTGAGGTGATGAAGGTACCCAAAGACCAGCAACAAGCCTCAGTCACTACCAACGGGAGTAATTTGAAAGAATTAGCTTCCTTCTCTTATTTGGACAGCGTCATTTCAACGCCAGGCGAGCAGCATGGATAAGGATGTCAAACCCGGGATCGGAAAGGGAAGGCACACCTTTATCACTCTGAAATCAGTTTGGAAATCTTCTGCACTCCAAAGCATCAGGAACAAAACTGGGATTTACAGCACTAGTGTTAAGTCAGTCAGTTCTGCAATATTGCTCAGAAACTTGGCGTGTCATCTAAAGCATTTTCAACAGGTTGAACACTTTTATTAACGGATGCCTTTGCTCCGTATTAAGGATTAGGTGGTCAGAAGGAATTAGCCTCACGAAACTCTGGGAACGAAATAGTCAAGAACCTTTACTCATGAAATATCCCGGAGAGAATTAAATAGATTGGACACATGCTAAAGAGATCGTTAGGTGACATCGTGAGCTAGGCCGTCGCTCCAGTGGCACGCGAATAGGAAACGATGAATTGGAAGTCACCTCGAGGGAGACATGGATAATTGTGAAACCAGCTAAGTAGGAACTCAGAGAACAGAACAAAGTGGAGTTGACTGCTGAAGCCTAATGTTTCACTCGGAACCCAAGGGGGCAACAGTAATAGTAAATCGAGCTGTCTGCTGACTACATCATGAGACTAAGTTGATGAGTGATTTACAACTGCATTTCTTTTGTTGACATTTGTATGATACTTGTATTTGAAGGAGAGATAGATAACTGTCCATTCGTTTTCCTTACACTAATTGTGAAGCTGTCTGCTGCTTGCTTACCAGATTATCTGAGGTAAAACTGAATGCATCATTGAATGAGACTGAACTTGTATAAGGCACACCTTTTTCTAGTTTAGATAATATTCAGATAAATCGATCCCCTAGCTGATCAGACTTCCGCCCAGGATATCTTTAAAAGTTATTGAAAGGTTAGTTGAGCTTAGTTTCAGTCTGATATTTTTATGGAGCTAGCAGCAGAATATCTAGCAGTTAGACAGTAATTCATTGTAAAGGACTCCGCAATATTTGCCTGTTTGGCTTGCAGGAATTCAAATAATTTAGAAATGGACTTGCATGTGTTCATGATGACGAAATACACCTTGAGACTGCATCCCAGTTACAGGCTATTTCATTGGTATGTCTTCCCTAATTTATGGTAATGATGACATGGAGAGTAATAAAATGAACATATGGGAAACAAAAGTATCGTTCGATAGCTAGCACACACACAATTACAGGTCTTTAAATTCAATCTGCTGAAGCCTTCTTCTGTCGGGAAATATCTGTCTGTCTAACCAAAACATTTTCAAGATTAAAAGCTGAAGACTTCATTGAAAACGATGGAGAATGTATAAATTCAGTCTTGGTTTCAAGTTAGATTATTTTACCAAGTGGTGTCAGAAAGAGAACTTTAGATAAATTATTATAGGCCACTGAAATGGTATTTCATCCCAAATTTTGACTTTCCATCAGTGTGCGTGCCATAGCACCCCATGAGAAATCAAAAACAAGGCGTTCAAGTGACAAAGCCAGCATGCCTGGAATGTAGTCACACATGGATACCACTAAAATGTTATTCTGTGTGTATGACCTAATGAAGCAGAATGCAAGAGATCTTTTCATTTCTTTGTCTTACGGGTGTAACATAGGTTTTCAAGCTTAAGTGTTGAAGTTTCATTAGCAATGATGGTGCTTTTAAGAGGTGGGGTTGCCAACCAAATGTTCAACCTTCACTCACCACCGAACTTACCTCCAAGTAGGCGAGGCTTAACAGTGTTTGATTGTTCGGGAATCGAATATAAATCATGTGCATGGTTAGCGAGTTATTAAATAAATATTTTTTGTCTTAAATTCAGTGAAGGGAACAAATAAGCTACTGTAAGCTTTATGCTAATTGGACTACTTCGCATGTTTGGAGATCCATTACTGATGAAGCTTTCTAGCCTGATAATGAAACGTCCGTATTTAAATATTATGGCATCAATGAGTTTCCATATAAATTCTCTTTACGCATAGCGAAAAGGGATACATATCGATGTCTTCTACTGTGATTTAATGTCTCTTTTAAAAATGGCACATTAACTTTCAGTCTTTAACAGATTTTATCCTCTTTCATATTTCTTAAATCTTTCCTAATCTAAATTTTTCAAATGACTTTCAAATATCTAACACTAATGTTAAAGTAATTTGAACAATGAATTTAGTCATACGTTAAACATTCCAAGAAAGGTTATAATTATCGATTTTCAATAAAACCAAATTTTATATATGTTACAATACAAAGACTATTTGAGTATGTTATAAGGCAATAATTCAACTTATTAGATATGCAAAATTTTATCATTTTTTATTATCATTATTATAAATTATGAGAAGAATTATATAGAAATAAATATTTAATTTTCAGAAATGAAATAAAGGCAAATCAAATGCTTACAAATTGTTAAATACCTAAGAAATATACACATTTTGTTTTAATTCACTTAATTTGTAGAGGGAGGCACTTTTAAACAAAATCAATACTTAATTAAGATGAGGCAACATGACTTAAAGTTATTTAAGGTTATACTAGTGTTTATAATTTAGAATCATTATCTCCTATAAATTTTGTTTATGAATTATGATTTTAAAGTTAACTGTATAGCTTTCGATTTATACATGTATGTGATGTACTTTATTTGAAATAATTTGCATATGTATTCAAGCCAACCTATACTATATGTTGACGTATTGGTTTTGAAGGGATTTTGTTTGATTGGTTGGAGGATTTCATCATGAGCTGACATCAGTTGGAGAACCATCGGAAAACCTGTCAGGGAGTACTTGGACAGCCGTTTCGTGCTAGTTCAGGACTCCTAATCAGTATTCACCCACTACGCTGGGTTCGAACCTAGGACCTTCTGGTTACAAGGTTACGTCGTAGACCCTTAAGCCACTGGGACCCGATCCACTGGCCAGTCATTGCATGCATTCTAACTTCTGCCAATTCATGACATAGTCCGACCATTTTGCAATGTCTTCTTGGATGAGTAACTGTACTCACCTTCAACCTGCTGTATTATATATTGAATTTGGAACATTAATTTGTGTCAATAGTAGTGATTTTTTCCCATCCCTTCCTTTCACAGTAGAAGATAGGGTTTGAAGAGTACTTGAAGTTTCAGTAGTTGTGGTGTTGTTTTCTGTCATGGAGCGGGGCTTTAAGCCTCCCGCCCAACCCCACCTCTTTGCTCAGTCTAATATTGGCTAGCAGACTAGTCGAGTTTTGGTATTGCTCTATCGTGGTCGATATGCATTCTATGACTCGGTCACAGGCTCATGTGCTACTGATACAGTTATTATTAATATGATATGAATGATTATGCAAGCCGTTTGATGGTTATTTAGTTTGAATAGTGAAGTGCTGACATTTTGTTTGCTTTCATATAGTAGGTAGGCTTTGTGCCTCTCCTTTAGGAAGATATGAATGGAACAAGATCCCAGCATAACTGTTTCGTGTCTTTTGTAGGCTATAGCTGGCCTTACAACAGACATTCCAAGAGTGTATAAAGGTCGATAAAACACTTTTAAAACAG